TAAAAATTTAAATTTCCATGTAAATTAATATATTTCCTCCAGTATTTTTAGTCTATTTTTTTCATGTTTTTTTTTTCCTTTCAGAAGGAAAGGAAAATCATTGTATAATAGAATATTTTGGGAACTAAAAAAGCACATACGCTGTAAAGCCTTTATTCACATTCTTAGGTAATCCTCAGAACAACTCTGAGAATGACCACAATTACCCTGTTTTACAGATGAGGAAGCTGGGGCTGAAATATGTAAGTGACTTTTTCAAAGTCACACAGCTAAAATCTAGGAAAGGCAGTTCGAACCCAGGTCTATCTAGCAGTGGAACCAAGGTGCTTAACTACTACACCAGACTTGTTCCAAGAGTTTCTAGATTCTCTAAGTATTGGGATGGTTGCCAGGCATCGAGGCAAAGAATTGGTTTTGAAATCAATTCAATACTCTTCTAAGATCGTCTTAAGATTAAATTCAGTAGTTGAGCTTACACGGTGGCCGTCTATAATCTTCTGGTAGTATAGATAAGTAATCGGAGAAGTACACACATGCTATTTCTGATGAATGTTTCGGTCAAAAAATTTCAATCATAATCCGAAGAAGAAATGGATCTTTCATATGAGAACTAGGTCTTGAGAAGACTAGTGTTTATTAAGGTTTTTCTTGTATAAACTGGAGATTAACTAGGGAGAAAGTTTATAATGCACTGGAGAATTTGTGGGCAGAGGAATTTGTGCTGCATACTTAAGGGCAAATAATCTCTTCGCTGTCCCTCCTTGTCTCCCCTTTCTTCTATCCAACTCTATTACCAGCTCACCCGGAGGCCAGAGATGGAATGGTCAGTATCCTCCACGCCTGTCCACAGAGGATGGGGATCCGCCCTTCTCCTCTTTTTCCCACTTCTCCACGTTTTGAAAGCATTGGAAGAAAAATTTTCTCTAATAATAGTAATAATATAATAGTAGTAATAGTAATAACGACAATAATAATGACTACCTCTTACTAAATATTTCCCATATGTCATGCATTAGGTTAAGCGGTTTGTATGATCTCCAGTTTCACAACAACTTTCCTTGGAAATGAGAAATCCAAGACTCAGAAAATGGCTCTTTGATTTGCCCAGGATCACAAACCTCTAACCTGTGGGTTAGTGATTACTGTCAGAGGGAAGGAAGGAGGAGCCAGGAGGGATATTTAAGGAACTACTTGCCATTCATGATACAGCAGAATTGAGATTCCAGCCCTAATGTCTGGTTCCGTCATCTGTGGTGCCGCCCAAGTTGTTTGGCTCTGAAAAGCCAAAAAGAGAAAACTAAGCAATTGAATTCTTGAAGTGACACCAAAATTTACTAACCATCTATGAGATATTAAATGTATATATTACCCTATCCTAGTTTCCCGGAACCAATTTTTAGTCCATAATTTAATTTTTAAGAATAGTATATAAATTAAATGTATAAATACAGAAGAACATATTCTATTAAAGTATTTAAATATAAATTCTGATCTCCCTATATTATTATTTTAAGAATTAATAAATTATATGGCTAACATGCCTTATAAATATAATATCCCATTAATGAACACAGCCAAAACATGGTGAGTAGAAATGATTAATCTTTTGCCATTATGAAATTAATGAGTAAATTATTTATCCCTACTGATAAGGTAAATTGTAAAGATTTTCTCTTACCACTGAATTTATATAGTTACCAAGGCAGAGATTTATTAGAGTAGTTGGCAGTGTTTTTATTCTATGACACTGTTGCCTGCAGTAGTTTTCTTATTCATTCCCAGGAAGCACATCCAGGAAGCAGAAATCAAATCATATCTGAAAGCCTTGTTTCTGGTGCATTATATTATAAAACTGATCTGCCACTAAAATCCATTATAATAAAAAAGGACCTGAAATAAAAGGAAAAAATGAATTACTTTTTAACATAAAATCTATCTGAGTTGTTTTTTTACCAAGAAGGCAGGGCCAGGGGATGAGGTGAGTGGGGGCTTACGGGCAGGGGTGCTGGGAGCCACCCTGTGAGTGAGGTAGAGGCTCCCCTACCCGGTGCCCAGCTGACCAGCCCAGCCAACTGCTCCTTGCCTCACTTGAAAAAAAAAATTCTATAATCAGAGTCCTTGGTGAGGTTACACATGCTATGAGAACTCACTTCACACCAAACTCCAGAGTGAGAGGACTCTCCTACTGTGAATATGCATGTGGTCTCGACTGATCTTAGCACAAACACATCTCTCTAAGCCAAATGAATTTTTAATTTTACTATTTTAGATCTTATAAGTAAATATGTGTCTGTATGTGAGAAGCATTATGACAGTATACCTTGCTTATGGCTACCCAATAGTTACACACAAAATAATCATGAAGTTTTGTTCATAAGGAATTTTAAGAACTATCTGTTGTTTAATTTCACTTTCTAAACCATTTCTTTTTGTTTTTCTCCTCCTCCTCCTCCTCCTCCTCCTCCCCTTCTTCTTCTTCTTCTTCTTCTTCTTCTTCTTCTTCTTCTTTTTTGCTTAGGCTAATAAGTGAGTATTAGTGCAGTGATTTTATTCATGCATTATGACTCAGTCAACTCAATTCAACAAAAGTTCATTGAATATCATCTGCTAGGCTCTAAAGAAGGATAAAAAAAGATTACTATACCCTGAAAGAGTCAGAGTAGAAACTATGAGATAAAACAAGGAAAGTAATGAGGGTGGGGGAGAGGGGAAGGGGGGTGATGGGCAGGAAGGGCACTTGTTGGGCTGAGCACTGGGTGTTATATGGAAACCAACTTGACAATATTTGAAAAATAACAAGGAAAGTAAGATCAATACCTTGATAAACGTATAAAGTGCTATGAAATCACAGTATGGGAGCAATTAATTCCAGATGAGTGCCTGTATGATGGTACTCATTACATCCCAAAAGCTGGAAAAGAAACCAGCACTGAATACCTGCATTAAAACATCCCAAGTCCTTATCTACAGACAGTATGTTATTCAGCCCCTAGCAAGTTTGACAGGTGTTATGAAATTTAGCGTTGTGTTTGCAAGTACCCCGAATCATTTTTCTTTCAATAAGTGTGATGTGTAAGGCCTAAAATTCAAGCGAAAGGTAGAAATCCTGTCCCCAAATAAACACTTTATAGGCTCATAAAAGGCAAGATTCAGAGGACAGGAGCGAAATGAGGCAAGGCCCAGGCACAGGTGGGGCTGGCCCAGCTGCTGATTCCCCCCACCCCCCGCCGCAAGCGCCCCAGGCTTTGTAGCTTCTCCTGTGGGCATCTGGGCCGGAGACTCATCCGAGGAACTACTCAGCACTGCAGCGCCTCCAGGGCTTGGCACCCCTGTTTTTGCCGCTGCCTGAAAAGCTCTTCTCCTCATCCTGTCTCTGTTGCTATCTGGTGACCACCACTTGCAGGAACAAGCTTGTCTCCTCCGGGACACCTTCTTTGAGTCTCCCCTAGAGACACACATGCCCTTCTGAGCTAAGGGTGCCTCGTTGGTCTCTGACTGCAGCCTATGCTAGCACATAGCACAGTTGGAAGTATTCTCTGCAATTACCTTACAGCAGGAATTGTGCTGTCCGGCCCCAGCACAGTAATATTACCTCAGAGGTGCTCGTTAGGGATGGAAACGTGTCTCCCTGAAAAAAAGAGCTATGTTGGAGTCCTAACTCCCGATATTCCTCAGAATGTGACCTTATTTGGAAATAGAATCTCTGTAGATGAAATCAGTTAAGGTAAGTTATTACTGGAGTAAACTGGGCCTTATAAGGTTCCTTCTAAGCTGTGAAGACAGACACACACAGAAAGCAATGCGCCTTATGAAGCAGAGATTGGAGTTCTAGAACTGCAAGCAAGGAGCGCCACAGATCACCGGCAGCCACCAGAAGCTGGGGAGAGGCCAGGGGGGATCCCCTACACGTCTCAGAGGGAGCTCGGCCCCGCCAGCCCCTTGACTTTGGACTTCCAGCCTCCAGAATTGTGAGACAATATCTGTTCTAAGTCAGCTGGTTTATGGTGCTTTGTTACCCCAGCCCTGCAAAAAGAGTGCAGTGCTCGATCAATTTGGATGAATGGATGACTTCCAAGTTTTTACCCGGCTATGACAAATCTGTGTCTACTCCCAGTTATTTCCTGCCTCCAGCCTTGATCTAAACCCAGCTGCCTTCATTTTATTTGGCCGCTCGAAGCTACAAATTTTATCTATCTGATTCTCAGGTTCTTCAACTACTCTAGATGCGATGTTCTGCCTGGCTGTCTCCAAAACTGAACGTAACTGGATTTTATGAAAGAATTTTTGTACCTGTACTTGCCTCTTTTTATATAGTCTATATATTGATAAGTCTTCATGCCTGCACTAAATTGGTTTTTTAACACGTAGGAAAAGTTATTGAGGGTGTCCAAGACTCAGTATCTAAGACAGGAGAAATGAGAGAATGAGATTCTATTCCATATGCACGCTGCTGAGAGCCATCTTGCCATGGACTGAGGTTGTGGCCCGCTGTCTGACTTTGCTGATCTTACGTCTTACTACCATTTGAAGGCAATTGAGCCGGGTGGACAATAACTTGTGCTTTATTGTCAAATTGAGCTGGGACCGACCCCAGTTCTGCCATTTCATGGTTTAGGTAAGTTATTTAACCTTAGTAAACCTTATTACCTCCTTTATAAAGTGGGGTAATAGTAGTGTCAAACTTGTGGGTTATTATAAGAAAACAATAGCACAATGTAAAAACGTTCTTAGCATAGTTCATAAAGTCTTAATAAAGGTTATTGTTAGATTATTAGGGGCACAAAAAATACCCTTCCGTTTAGTATCAAAATCATATGATTCTGTAAAGCAGCATCTTCTGGAATAAACTGTTACAAATGAAAAGAATAAATCTATTGTGGGAATTAAATATTTTTAAGTTCTTCCAAAGAATACTGGAAGGCAAATGCAATACTCTTCCCAGACAAAACCTTTCTTGTTGAGTCAAAAGACTCACTCACTTTTTTTTTCCCTTTAAACAGGCTAAAAGGAGAGATGAGATTCTCCAACTCTTGAGAAAACAAAGAGAAGAAAGGATCTCGGTGAGATCGATAGGCGTTCAGATACATCTGGAGGGGCGAACTGTGGCAAATTCCCAGAGATGATTATAGATTGTCCCCATACATCTAGATACTCATGGTCCAGAGCCTTCTATCTACTGGAGTGGGGGCAGGGTATAGACATCAGTTAGTTTTGCCATCCTTGAGAAGTCAAAGAACTCTCCAGAGCATGCAGGTCTGCTGGCACAGAAGCGAGGTGATACCATCAGCAGGTCTGCCGCTGCGTATTTTAAGGCTATAGGATATTCCCACGGGCTACTGCCCTGCTGATCTTTGTTTTACGGCAATTGGTCTTGCTTAGATCATACCAAAACAAATATTAAAGAAGAGAAACATAGTAAAAATAGTAAAACAATAATAGCACCCCCTAAATTTGCAGATGTGCAAACACCTGCTCTCCTGAATGAACCCAAATTCTCTTCATCTGGAACATTTCTAACCCCACAGTCTCCAGATTTAAGAAGCTAGTCTGTATAAACTCCATGATAATTCTACCTCAGATGTTTTTTCCAGTAAGGAAATTTCAGTCAGCACAAGAGGTAAAATTTTCCTTTCTGAGTCCTGTTTTTCGTTTTCAGAAAGAACTGATTTCCCTTCCTTACAAGCCAAAGGCCAAAGGACACAAAGCAAAGTAAGTTTACTTCTGTCAGAAAAATATTCTTACCTTTCTAGTTTACCCCCACAGAGAAGCACTTTTTCTCATTCCCCTTTGCCCCCTGCCCTCAAATCTTCTAAAAACCCACCCACTGAATTTACAGGTTTCTTGTCTTGAATAAACCAACCTTCCCCCCCCTCCACATTCAAGCCCGTGTGCCCACTTGCATATCTGGGCAATATGGCAGCATGAAGTGGGGTAAACGGGACAGCAAATGAAGCCTGGATCTCTGCTTCTAAGGATGGAGCAAAATGAGTCCAATGGGCAGATTCACTTATCGGATTCAAATAATGGGTGAGGACTGGTACTTAACTAACATCAGCAGATGTGTCCGGGCACCTCAGGTTTCCGTGCACATTTTTCCAGGAATGCTTAGAACGCTCCTGCTACCATCCATGCTGAGTGACCTAAAATTTATCATTTCACAGCGTGAGCAGATAATTCTTTACAAGCTTGCCTAACTCCTTTCGTGTACAAACTTTCCCTCCTCTGCCCTCCAGCCTTAAATTTCATTCTGTTCACGGGGACATCTTTCTCCTCTGAGCTTCTTATCCAGTGGCTGTCTGTACCGTTCTTTTGGCAAATAACCACACACTGCTTTGCACCCATGTTTTACAATCACTCAACCCATTAACTCTTAAATTATTTAACTTTTCACATATTGTGGGCTTGTCTGCCACTATATTGTAAGCTCAATGAGAAATTGGGCCACCCAGAGTGCCTCGCACACTGACTGCATGTAGGAATTCAGGAAATACTTGTAACAAAAAAATTGTAGTTCAAAAAGAGCATGTAATCCAGTTTTAGCTAATTTAGAAGGTGATGCTTTTATACTGCACATTATATTTTTAAATGATTGAAATAGTTTAGATACAATCGTAAAATACTGAAATTTGCCATCTTCTTCCTCCCTCCATCCTTTTGCGTCCGCCCCAACCCCCCGCCCCTTCAACCCCCCCTTCAGCTCCCACCCCTTCAACCCATGCCCCCCCAACCCCCCGCCCCCTTCAACCCCTGCCCCTTCAACCCCCCTCCACCCCCAACAACAGATACACCTTCACCATGCTCCTCCAACAGATCTGATGATAAGCTAGGTCCCCTTCCTCAGAAAGAACTAGAAAGTGTGTTCCTAGTAAGGTTTTAGTATCAATATGTTTATTGTCCACCCCAGGAATATTTGCCTTTTAAAAGAGGTCTGACTAGAAAAAACAATGGGTAATCCAAAGAAATAAATAATCAATGACGAAATCTCAGAAGTGTGACTCTCAGGTAAGCAAAATATATTTAGGGTAGGCGGTCTTCTCCCGAGCCCTTCACATCGCACGTCACCACATAAGGACCCCTCCTCCCACTTGTGAGCTGATACTTGGTTGCAAAGTCTAATGCATCCTCAGAATCCAAGGCAGTAAATCCTTACTGGGGAATCTCTCAGAAGCTGTTTCCATGCTATGCTGTGTTTACAACTGCAGAGTTCTGTGTATTAAACCTGATTCATGTTCCTGCCAACAGAAAAGTGATCGCAGAGTCAGACAAGGAAGACCAAGAGGAGGTCAAAGCCTTGGACTCACTTGATTGACAAGTGGGAGAGGATGGCCCACTTAGATCTTCCCTTCCGAAACCACCTTCTCTTATGTCAGGATCGTTAGGATCACCTTGTTAAGGCAGACAAAGAAATAAAAGTCAAATACGCAGACTTCTAGGGACTTTACTAGTTATTGAATGCTTGTGTCTATTTTACTTGATGGCTACTACTGTATTTGGCATTACACTATCATCTCTCTCATCTTACGCTTCCCTAACTCCTATTTATCTTGTTCTCATCTGAAGGGTATATCCGGAACTGCCATATTTGATTCTGTATTATGCATATCAGATAAACCAGAAACAGGGAATTGATGTACCCCAACTTGAGACCACTAGTAAAAACTATAAGGACATAGGGATGGAAGGGCCATCCTGAAAACCTCAAAGGCTTCTTGCTGTAAAAAAATAAAAATAAAATCCATTTTCAAAAATTTGGTTTACTCAGTTTCTGGAACAATGTCCAAAGCCAGAAATTAAATATGTTTAGTTCTGTGAATAGCTGGCTTAACATTCCGATATCTAACACACATGCACATAACCCCATTGCCAACCTCCTTCGCTTTCAAAGGCACCTGCTGGGAAAGAGGTTAGGTATTTGATCTGTCCCTTCTGCGATGTGTAGCTGGCAGTCTTACTCAGGGTTGTATGCTGTGCTCCGGTGCTCAACCGAAGCTCCCAGCTCTGTTGAGGACCACCATTCACTTCGCTCATGGCCCTCACCTGCCACTAATGGACATGACTCCCATCAGAGGCAGCTCCCACCCCACAGCACCCACAGAGGCGTGGCTGACCCACTGGTCAGAACTTAATTACAGGGACACACCAAACCGCAAGGGAGGCTGGGAAATGGCCATTAAGTGGGGGATCATCTGCCTAGTTAACATTTAGGACCCCTACTAGAAGAAGTGGAGAATGGATATTAGTGGACAGCTAGTGTTCCGGCCACATCACTCACTGGAGAAAAAATCTTTTGAACAGAGGAAGGTAGTCAGGCCTAGAAAAGGGACATTTAGAAAATGACAAATTGGCAATCTCATCTCGGCACTATCAGGAATAAAAGGTACCCCATCAGGGTGATTGATATATTTGAGATATATATATATATATATCTGGCAAATATAGATATTGATATATATGCCATACACACACACACACACACATATATATTTGCCAGATAGAGTTCTATTGTAAAGTGGGACATCGCAGGCCATCAAAGCTTAACCTTCAAATCATATAACTAAGTCCCCTTGTTGTGATGCCATGCTCTCTGAGACATCTCTGGCCCAGAGGTAGAGTGTGTGCTCAACACACTTAATGCCAACATCGGTTTGCGTGACCATAATATTTCTCAATGTGTAAATACATCTGTTAGAGTGGGTTTGGGCTTGTCAACCTAAGGATGGGACTCTGGACCAAGATAACATCAACAAGAAAAATTCTTCCAAGTGAGCCAACCAGCCTTCCCCAGCTGGCAGGACTCTGCATTACCTGGTGTAATGGTTGGTATTTGCTGCAACAATATAACAAAGTGATCTGCAACATTTATTACTGCTCACATATCTGCAGGTTAGCTGGGCCCTTAGGGCCCAGGGGCAGCTCTTTTCTTGGCGGGGGTGGGGTGGGGGGGGGAATCGGCTTCTCCTGTCTGTTGCTCCACTGAGGCGGCTCTGCTCCATCTTCTTCTTTTTTTTTTTTTTTAATTTTTTTATTTATTTCTAGGAGAGAGAGAGAGAGAGAGAGTGTGTGTGTGTGTGTGAGCAGGGGAGGGTCAGAGAGAGAGGGAGACACAGACTCTGAAATAGGCTCCAGGCTCTGAGCTGTCAGCACAGAGCTCGACGCAGGGCTCGAACCCACGAACCGCGAGATCATGACCTAAGCGAAAGTCGGACGCTTAACCAACTAAGACACTCAGGCGCCCCTGCTCCATCTTCTTTGGGATGTACGTGGACCAGTGGGATGGTGGAGCTATGTTCCTCTCAGACAGTGGCAGAGAAGCAAAAGAACAAATAGGAACATGTGAGGCCTTTTCCAGTCTAGGCTCAGAAACCTCTGGCTTGTTCCCTTGGCCAGACAAGTCACATGTCAAAGACAAGGGGGTGAGGAAATTTACTCAGCCCCTTTAGGACGAGAATTGCCAAATCACACGGTAAAGGGTGTGGCCACAGGAGCTGTGGAGAAGCGCAGTTGCTCTCGGGATCTGGCACGTTAGGTTGACCACGTACCTTAACAAAGGCAATGGGGACCAAGGGCCAGGGCATCAAAGGGAGAAGTCAGGGCACAATTTAATTGCTTGGGCCAACGAAACAGCTCCCCTATGTTGTAATAGATGCTGTGGTACTGGAAATAAATCCTTTTCAACTGACATTAAGTAACCAGGTATCTGCACACTTACAGGTCTATTTGCCCCACCAAACCTTCCCAAAACTCTTAAGGTAACCTTGAGTGACACCGAGAGCTCATTGATACTTAGACAAAGGATCTGCCAAAGGCCACCCAGACTTTGAAGAAAAGCAGAACATCAGATGCCACTTTGAATGTTTCACTTCACCATAGCAGTCCCCTTTTCGTTTTGAGAACCAGGAATTTCTAGAAAGGATGAATGTTGGATAGGAGATCTTCTAATTCAGGCATAAAGACGGCTGTAAAAAAGCTTGCCATGAAAGGTCAGGCCTCATTCCGCTGATGCTTTTTTCTGCCGTCGAAGGGCTTCCCTATATTAGCCGCGGATACGGAACTAGATCCTTCCCCCCTCCCCCTCCCCCCTCCTCTTCCCCCTCCCCGGGGCTGTATTCAGTCCTCTTCCTCAACAGTGAAGTGGCTCACGCTGAGACCAAACCCCAGAAGTCTGCAGCTCACACGAGGCTTCTGCAGGGCTTCCCAGCAGAGGAGGAGAGGGAGGGCAAGGCGACCAGACGCACCTTCGGCCACTTAGCACTATAGTTTCGGGACAGAAGGCTCGCCTCGTTATTTGAGTATTATTTGAAAACACTTGACTATAAGAAGCAAATGTGAAACACAACTGTTGCGCAGTTTAGAAGACGGAGCACACGCATCGAGGGCTGAGCTGGTGAGGAAATCTTCAGAGAGAGAGGGATCACTCTGTCCTAGGGAGGCTCCTCCCTCTCCTACAATCTGCAACTCCCCCCCCCCACCCCACCCCCAGCAACAGGTGGGGTGCAAAGAGCAGTATTATTTCCGTGCTGCCTCCAGGGACACCTTTCGACTTCAGAGGCAGCGATCTCAGCCAGAACCCCAACTTAGCCACCGCCTCTGGACACTATCTCCGCTACCCCGTAACTTGCCTGGCACACTGCCCACTTGAGCATCTGTTCTGTGCCCGGACTGCAGCCCACGGAGCCGCAGGGAGGGCTCGGTGCCTCGCCTGTGCCACTGGGCCACACTGCAGAGCCTGGGGCGCCGCGTGCATTTGGCCAAGTCTCCCGGGAGTGGGGTTGAGCTGTGCTCGTGATTTTAGCCACAGTGCTCTCATCAGGTTTCAGATAGACCAGACTGGGACGGTCCTCGGCCCTGCGCCCTGGGCAAACGCAGGATCTCGGTGCGAAGCCCCGGGCGTGGCGGGCGCGGGGGTGGGCGGCGGGGAGGCGGCTCCCCTCCCCGGCTCGCTCCGCCCCGCCCCGGCCGGCCGGGTCCTCGGCGCCGCGCTCGCGGGAGGAGGCCGTCGGGGGCGGGCCAGCTGCGGGGCTGTCCTCCCCTCCGTGACGTCCCGGGGGGCGGGGGGCGGCGCGCCGGCTCCGCGCCCTCCCCGCCGCCCCCGGGAGCCGGGTGCGCGGGTCCTCGGGAGATGCGGCCGTGGCGGTTGCGGCGCACGCAGCTGCGGGTCCCTCCGCCGCCCCGCCGAGGCGCACCCGAGCCGGGCCATGCAGCCGGGAGCCGCGCTGCAGGCCGTGCTGTGGGCCGCGCTGCTGGCGGCGCCCCGGGGCGCCCCCGGCCGCCTGCTGAGCGGTGAGTGAGCGCGCTGGGGCGGGGGCTGCTTCCCGGCCGCGCTCCGCAGAGGCACCCGCTGCGCCCCAGCTCCGCTGGCCGGCTTCAAGCCCGCCGCGCCTCCTCTCCGGCCTCTGCAGGGGCTGGGGGGGGGTCCCCGCCCGGCTGGAGGTCACGGCCCTCCTGCGCGCCCCAGGGGCTAAGACCGGCGCGAGTCCCTGGGTATCCGGGGACACTCAAAGTCCGTTCCCTGCCCTGCGTTCCAGGCGGTGGGGGACATAGGCTGGGGGGCCGGGGGCGCAAATCTGCCCCAGGAGGCGCCCCCTCGGCCCGCCCCTCTGAAGGCGGCGCCGTCGTTGCCGGGACCCCGGCGCCGGGCGGGCTCACCAGCTCGCCCCCGGCCCGCAGGGGAGAGCTCTGCTCCCGGAGACGGCGGCTGCGGTGGGAGTTCTGAATCGGCTGCGCGGGGCACCCAGCCGCTTACTCCTGGTCTCTTCTCGCGGGGGGGCGAGGCGGGGAGGACGGCCGGGTCCAGCTCTGGAACCCGAGCGCTTAGAGATCGGGAAAGAAACCTCGTTCGCGCGGGACAAGCCCCTGCTCGCTCAGGGGAATGACTTTCTGCTTCCTTCCTCCTGTCGTGTCGCTGCAGCCTCGGACTCGGACCTCAGAGGAGGTACAGTGATTGTTCTGCATGGGGGGGGGGGGATGTCCGTACCCCTTTCTCAGGTCCCCGGGGCGCCGACAGATTGGCCGTGGGGGACGGAGGAGATGACAGCCGCCACTGCGTTACCCCTGCTTGCGGAGCTGATGGAAAGGATCTAAAGCTGGTTCCAGGATGGGGGTGGGCTGCGAGGCGGCTGAAGGTTGGGGGTGGGGGGTGCATCTGAATTGAGCTGCCTGGGTTAGGGCTGCATAGCCTTTGTCCTGGGTCGCGGGGAACAGAAGCCCTCGCCCTTCCCCTTCCTGCAAAAGAGAAAAGAGAGACACTTCCTGAAGCCGGGAACCAGATGCGCCTCAGGCATCCTTCCAGCTCTGGCCCTCGGTCCGGCTCTCACCCCCCGACCTGCGCCGCGGAGCCTGGCCAGACCTACAGGAAACTCGTTTAAGGTGTTATTTTTTCCCTTGGTAAGCCAAGGGTAGAAGCGCCGAGACTGCCAGTCAATTCAGCTCCAGCTTCTGCCTTGCCGTGGCCAGGTTGGGGGCCCCTGGGGCTCATTTTCCCTCTGCTCCCTCATTGGGAGCCACCTTTAAAGAATCACAAGTGCCGGGCGGGGCCAGGGTTCTCAGCAGGCAGCACCCCAGCCACACCCTCGGCCCTCACCCTCTCCCCAACACCTCCTGCGAGCAAACGTCCTGCCGCTGAGGCCTCCGCATTTGCTGGTGGGCCAGTCCCGTTGGAGTTCTAAGCAGTGGCAGGAGATATCAGAGAAGAGGGAGGAGGTGCAAAACTCTTATAACTCGTTGCTTATTGAGAACATCCTTACAAAAGCGATCAAAGAAGCAACAGAAACAAGACTTCACAGGAGTCTCCTGGGTTATCCCTATGCGCTCCCCTCCCAGGCAGCCCTGACCATGCGGTTAAGTGCAGCCTTTGCCCCGTATTCTGGACAGTATTGGGAATAGTGAAAGCTCTCTGGTTCGCTGCACGGCTGCAAAACAAATTAGGAAAATGAGAACATTCCTTGAGGGCTGGGAAGAGGTTGCCAAACCAAAACCCTTCATCCTTCCCTCTGTGGTCGGAATTCACACCCACAGCCCCCAGTCTGGCTCTTGCACTGCGAGGGACTCCCCGGGCTGAAAGGTGGTTTTCACTTGTAGGGCTGGGTCCGGAAACAGAGGCTGTGTGCTTCTGCGGCCGAGGAGCGCGTATTCCTTTCTGTGTTCCCAGCACCGAGCGCAGTTCCCGCGCAGCAAGGCTTCGGGCACCCCGATGCCAGCAAGGGCGGGTTGTAGTGACTCCTCAATAGAATCCTATCCTACTATCCTATTTGTCTGAGGTGGTATTCAGCCCTGAGGGTGTCAGGCAGGTAAGACACGTGACAGAGGCTCCCAGTGCAGCCTGAAATGGCGGTGGAGTGGGAACTGCGCAGCACAGTTCAGTGGTGGCGGCCTTGACTTTGTAATCAGAAGGGACTTCTGACTCCAGTGAAGATCCTGATAGCTATGTGGCCTTTGCCAAATCACTGAATTCCTCTCGGCCTCAGCTTGTGCATCTGTAAAATGGGGCATAAACAAATCTCCAGCACAGGATGATTAAGAGAGCTCAGTGAGATAATGCATGTAAACGTAAAAGCCCTCAGCATCGTTCATGCCACATGGTGAGAATTCAGTACAACTTAACTGTGTCTTTAGGCAGAATCAATAGCAGAAAACCGCACTGACCTGACGCACTTAGCTTCTGCTTACACCGCAGACTGGGTGACATCTCAGTCCAACTACCTAGGCAGAGGGTTCCAGGCCCCCGCCCAACTTCAGAATACCTCTCTTACCTGAAGGAAACCCCAAACAGAGGTAGCTCACACTGAACCACACTATCTCCTGAGTCTTCCTGATGACTTGCAACTGTTAGATGCGTGGCTTGCAGTGAAACCGTAAATCTTCATCTACCTCTCTTCTAAAGGATAGTCAGAAATGTCTGCTTTTCAAGGATCTGTAATGGAAGGAACGAAATGTGGAGTTCTTACATGATATAGGCATCAAGGTTTAAATCACTGCATCTCCATGCTGGAAGGGGTGTTCATTTGCTCCGAGAAGTGAAATGACTTTATACAGTCTACTGATGAGTCATCAGAATCCCTGCCCAGGGGTAGCTCCCTTCCCAGGCCCCCAAGCACCCTGCCCTGGTATACTTTGGGGAATACTGAAATCGGGCGGCTTCTTTTTTCTCTAGGGCAGCCAGTCTGCAGAGGAGGGACACAGAAGCCTTGTTATAAAGTCATTTACTTCCACGATGCTTCTCGAAGACTGAACTTTGAGGAAGCCAAGGCAGCCTGCAGTAGGGATGGAGGCCAGCTGGTGAGCATCGAGTCTGAGGACGAACAGAGACTGATAGAAAAGTTCATTGAAAACCTGCTGGCGTCTGATGGTGACTTCTGGATTGGGCTCAGGAGGCGTGAGCAGAGACAAAGCAATAGCACAGCCTGCCAGGACCTTTACGCTTGGACCGACGGCAGCACATCAACGTTCAGGTAAGCGTGTGGGACCCACGGCAGCCGACTCACCTGAGGTAAGTCTAAAAGGAGGCGGGCTCAGTCGTGGTGCCAGGTCAGTGGGGAAGAGGAGAAGACCCAGCCAGGCAGAGCCCTGAGAAGACAGCACCAGAAGAGCCACTGAGCAAAGCAGTGTGGTGAAGGTGGGGACTCAGCCTGGATCTGTGCCCACCTCATGTCCCAGGAGCTCTGTCCAGGTGGATGTGGCCCAGGAGCATTGTTTTCATAGCAGGTGATGCCTGAAGTCAAATGGTTCTGGCTCTCCAGCCTTTTGGATTAGAAGCCCAATGAGAAATTGAAGGTCTGTGGAGCTAAGACTCAGTATAGGGCTCCAGACCACAGGAAGTAGGTCCGGATGGGCCAAGAGGGGACTTGAAGAAACCTGCATTTTGGAGGACCCTTGTAAACCCACAGCATTGGGACTTACTCATTTCACACCACACCCTGGCACCATGGCGTTGCCATTGTCCCTCCCTAAGAAACTCAGTGACATGGATAAACATCAAAAGATAGCAAAGTTTAAGAGGCAGATATAGACTGGAAAAAATGTAACAAATTACAGTGTTACTACCTTTTTACCATTAAGAGTTTGTAGAAATCATTAAAACACTGTAAGTTTCTGTAAGTCAATAAAACCCCCAAAAGATAAAGAGGCAAAAGACCTGAGCAGACAGTTGAAAAATAGAAAATCTAACTGGCGAACAGTCACATGGGGGGAAAAAATGTTTAAACTCCTTATCAATCAAAAGAATGCAGATTAGGGGCACCTGGGGGGCCCAGTCAGTTAAGGTCTGACTCTTGATTTCAGCTCAGGTCATGATCTCATGGAGTCGAGCCCATGATACTCACTGACCTCCCTCCTCTACTGCCCAGGCTAGATTCCGCTCTCTCTCTGCTCAGGGAACCTCAGTGGCTTCCCTGGTGGCAGGGACCCAGACCCTCAGCCCCAAGGAATGTGCCCCAGTCAATGTGCACTTCTCAGGCTGGAGTGATTGCACTTTCCATCTACCCTCCGAATGGGGTGTGTGAGTACCCGCAGGAACCCAAGTAGACATATTCTCCCTGCCCAGGATGGGTGAGAGCATAGCTACATCCTCCTGCGACTGGGGCCCGTGACCTCCTGCGAAGGTGATCACTGCTCTTCTTGCCTGCTGGTCCCTGGACACAGGATCCCAGGGTGCCCAAGTGGCAGCCATCACTCCTAGTTTAATAAGATTTTTCCAGGAGCACCTGGGTGGTTCAGTCTGTTGAGCATCCGACTTCAGCTCAGGTCATGACCTCATAGTTTGTGAGTTTGAGGCCCACATCGGGCTCACTGCTGTCAGCCCATCAGTTCAGAGCCTGCTTCGGATCCTCCGGTCCTCTCTCTCTGCTTCTCCCCCAATTGTACTTTCTCAAAAATAAATGAGCATTAAAAAAAAAACTTTGCCTATATCTTCTGGTGGAAGTATTTCCCCTTTGGGTCCCAGGACCTCTAAAACCCATAGAGCCCAGCACTGCAGAGATAAGAAGCACAAGTCCCCCAAGTGGGTCACTAGGAATGAGGGTGAGCAAGGCTCCTTCTGTTTCTACCCACGGGCTCCCGGAATCATGTATTCTTACTCTTGGAGACACAGGATGACACTGGAGTCTTGGAGGGTGTTTGGATGATGATGCCGCCCCCTTGCAAAGTATTGCCTCTGAGCTAGTACTTCAGCTGGGTCGTCAACAAGTTCTTCCATCATTCTGTCAGGCTGGCAACTTCCAGATGGTGCAACATGTCATATGACTGGTAAATCCCCCAGCAACGAGCCGATGGCCACACCTCCTTTGCTATAAAGTAGGTGCCTTGGTCCGAGGAGGTGTGATTTGGGATTCTGTGCTGGTAGATCAAATACCGTGTGAGCCTCTGGACAGTGGTGCTGACTGAGCCCCTGGGGCAGGAGAGGCTAATGCATACCCAGATTGTACGTCTGTCCTTGTCAAAGTGAATCAGTGACCCTTTCGGGACGGAAGGAATCCAACGCAGTCAACTTGCCCCCAGATGCCAGGCTGGTGTCCTAGGGTTGTGTTCCTTTAGAGACTTAGCTCTGGTCTCTGTTCCTGGCAGGTTCGACGTTTGGCAGTTGCTATCAGCCTTGGTGAGTGGGAATGGATACTGTTGAGCCCATCCCTGCCACCATGGCCACTCTAACAAGTGTCTGCTGTGCTGGCACCGAGGCAGCCGATGCCAGGCTAGCTGACATCAGCGGGCTCAGTCATTTTGTTTCTCTGGTTGTTTAGTGCCTCTTCAGTGCTAGATGCTTTCTGGTGGATTTTAACGTGTGATAGATCCTCTCCTTCATGCCTAGTTCCACATGTCTATTCACACCGCTCTATCCAAGAGTTGCTTATCCCCAGTCTTCCCCTCTTTCTCCTTTTAGACTCCTGATCAGCTGGCCAAACTCTTTGCCTTACCCCTGAGTCCCAGTATGTTCTGACCTCCCGTAACTTCTCTTTCTGTGCAAGCAGTTAACTAAGTATACCATCTAAGCTCTGGCCAATGGGAGGATGTCCTTGTACCACTCTATCTTTCAAGGCCAACTCTGAGTGGGGTTGTAGTGTAGCAGCCATCCACTGGGAGCCGTACCCGTATTCTTGGCTGATCTATCCATGAACAGAACTCAGGCACCTCTGTCAGCTCGTCATAAAGGGTTCCCTTATGCAGCTGTGGGTGTAAGCTGCAGAAGAGGCTTTCTAATGACAGTGCTAGGTGCTGTGGCAGCCTGCTCTACCTGCCCATACAGTGCCCTCTGGTACTGAATATACCTCTTCCATCTTACAGTGGGTTGATTCATTCTGGGCCTGCCCAGCCCAGGACTAGGTGTGTCCGACGGTACCGCACTCACGATGGGTGAGTTGGATTGCATGGTCTCTTGGTGCTCCTTGCCTAGTAGCAAGCCAGGAGCTGCTTTGCAAGAGGCGGTTATCTCTCAGTTTCAGAAGACATGGCCTTGCTATAGAATCCTAGGGATTTACATTGTGATTCTTTCACTGGGGCTTGTTACAAATTCTGTATGGCATTATTTTCCCCAGCTCGGATACCTCTGCTAATAGGATCTGCTAGATCATAAGTCTGCTTGCACTACAGCCTAGACCTGCTTTAGGGTCCTTATTCTGCTCTTGTCCTTATTCTCACTCAAAGCTGGCTGTCTTTCATGTCAGCTGGTATATGGGCCAGAGCTCTATTCACAAGTGTGAAATAGCTGCCTCTAGTACCCAAAGGTGCTATGCTTCCTACCTCACATTATTCTAAGATGCTTCAAGATGCAGTATTTGTCCTTTAACGTGAAAGGGATGTTCTGGGATTCCCTAGATCACTAGAGACCTACACATTTTCATGGAGTGTCAGGTTCTTGAATCTTCATAGAGTTTATCTGTAATCCTCTGGAGCACATGAGTCTTACTAAGCTCACCCAGTTCAATTAGCGTGATGTCAGAAATATAGCAGACCAGTGTGAATTTCTACAAAACATGTAGGTAGTCCAAATCTCTTCATACCATATTATGACAGAGGGTTGGGAAATAAATATAGCCCTCAGGCAAGACCATAAATGTATATTGTTGTCCATTCCAAATGAATGCAAACTGTTTCTTGTTCTCTTTCTGATGGAAAATATTATGTTCACCAGATCTACATGGTAAGTATCCAAGGGCAAGTTAACCTGCTGTAGCAAAGATACCGTATATGGCACAGCAGCTGTAATTGAAGCTTATACTTAGTTGTATTTATGCTTCTCTAGTGTCATCCTTTAGGATCAGCCTGGTTTTTGTAGAAGCCAGACTAGTGAATTAAATAGAGACATGATGGCAAATAACACCCTTGCATTCTCTAGCATGGTGGTACCATTCTCTGTCATCTTCCCCTGGATAAGATATGTTTCTTTTATTTACTGCTTTGGGGAGGTTGGGGAAGAGTGAAGTTTCAGAAACTTCCACTTGACCTTGTCCACTGTCACAGCTCTTACCTCACAGAGCTAAGAAACCAATGTGGGACTATACCAACTGCCAAAGACAGCTATTCAAGTCATATATTTGAGGACTGGTAAATGACTGCTGGGTGGGTCCCACTGTGAGCTGGTCCTGGGCCAGAATTATACTCAATACCTGGGCTCAATATGCTCCCACTGTAATGGGTAGTCTTGACGATATTTCAAGTTTTTGAATACCAATGTCACCTTGTGTCCTGTGCCCAACATATTTTATAATATTTGGATATTCTCCTTCCTCCAGTGTATGGAACTCTATGAAATGGCCAGAGGCACCTTTGGAAGAGCAGGAAAATTATCCCCATGTGTACCAACCATGGCGTGATAGGGTGCTTCCTCCTGACAACCTGGCCTCTTCTTCTATCAGTGAATTCCAAGCCTGACACCTGGCTCAAGTCCACAAACTAGGTGCCAGGCATAAAATTCCATCCATTCCATCATCAGTAAGATGAAATAACATAAAGCCATAAGACCAGTGGGGAAGAGAACAAGACAAGTCAATTTAGGAGGTCTACCAACTGGGTTAGAAAATGGCCTGGAGGTAATGAATGGGGTACAGAGCCCAGCCCAAGTCAGGGCCCCCAACTAGCCAGGCACATCGTCCAAGTAGTGTTGCAAATTCAGTTGTTGTCCAGGCAAATTCAATCCAGGAGGCATAGCGAAGGACCTTCCCTTGGGTGGATGGCAACACGCCACTCAAGCAGAGCCGTACTGAGGTGCTATGAGATCTGTCTCTCAGCTGCCTCCTGATGAGGGGCTCTGACAAGATCCAGGCAAGGCAGCAGGGCCCAGCTAAGTGATCTGAGCATGGGGGCAAGATCGGGGCCCCAGAAGGAAGCAGCTTGGGTGGGTAAACATGTAGACTATGAAACCCAGCCCTGAGTCAGTGAGTGCTCACAGTATTTAGACTCTATGGAACCCAAGGCCCTAAAATGGCACCCATATATTCAACGGGGTGGCAGTGCCATTTAATTCCAAGTACCACTGGACAGTGGGGCTCAGGCTGCTAATGGAGCTAGGAAAACAAAGACAAGAAACGTGGCAACAGAGGCTGAAGGAGGGGCTCCTCCGCCTGATGAAGTGAAAACAAGATAAAAACTGAAATAGACTAGGTGGGCCCTCTGCTCTGTCCCCACCCCCTCACCTGCCTTGAGAGCCTCCCCATTTTGGAAAGTCAAGCTCAGATGCTTGAATTTTCCTTCTACTTCCTAGGGCTAGTAAGGCAGTTATGACAGTTGAAAAGCATAGAGAGATACGAATAAGGCAAGCTCTGGCTGAGATGAGCCAGGCCTCTTTTTAGTGCATCTGATTTCTACAACAAAGAGAAACGAAAGCCAGTTTGCAAAAAGCAAGCAGTAAGATCATCCCAGACAGGCCCTCCTAGCTGCTTTTTCTCATAATTACTTTGCAGACATCCTATGGTAATATATTCCTCCCTGCAAAGAGTCTGTGGCAAGTGTCAGATGATTGATTGTGACGTCCATCTTAGAAAGCACGTGGTTCTACTTATTGGCCACGCTTCAATTCCTCTCTTTCTGTGTTATTGTCTCCTGAAGCAGAATCCTAAAATCGTGGCTCAATGGAACTCGATGGGAAAAGTCTTAGGGCTTCTTTCTCCAATTGTCGCCGTTGTTGACCCTTTTCCCGCAGGAACTGGTATGTGGATGAGCCTTCGTGTGGCAGCGAGGTCTGCGTGGTCATGTACCATCAGCCATCGGCACCTGCTGGCATCGGGGGCCGCTACATGTTCCAGTGGAATGACGACCAGTGCAACATGAAGAACAATTTCATTTGCAAATATTCCGATGGTAATGAATCTTTTCCCGAGTCCTGTGGCTGAATCCCCATCTTCCCCTCTTACTTCATAAGCAGCTGCTAGTTCCCAGAATTTGCTATGTGTTCTCTGAGAAAGCTTGCTGGGGATGCCAGCAGTGTTGGACACTGGGGAAGGTAGTGACAGTTCGTCATGGAGGAGACTTCTAGCTAAAGAGAGGAGGATCTGATGCTAAGAGGAGGGATGAAGAAAAGAAAGGGTCTAATTTATGTCTTACAAAGTGAGAATCATGACCAGTTCAGGAAACAAAAAGCCGTCTAAGTGGACAGATTCTTATTCTTTCCACATGTGAGGTTGGCTGTAGGAGCTTGGAAAAAAGAAGAAATAGGAAAGGAAGCTGGCCATGGTTCCTGCAAGTCTTCCGACAGCCACGTGACATTACTTTCTGAAGCTTTAAAGAAACAGAATAATGGCCCGAGGAGGTAGATGAGGGAGTACACTGATTTCACTGGCCTTGGACAGATAGCGGGCACCTTGAGCAGCAGACTTAAACCACCCTCTACAGATGCCTTGCAAATTCACCTGGCATTGGCTTCCAGATCTGTTAAGGGTTCTGAACTGGCTTCAAGGCTGCAGTCTCCCTCTGCTGGGGTTTCCCAAACTCCCCCATTGTAACTGACTTAGGTCTAAACTTGATGTGACTTTTTTATCTGTCCCTGAAGGTTCTCAGATCCCTAAAGCCACAGCTCAGTCCCAGTCCTCCGCTTTCCTGGCAGGAATAGAATGACTGGTTACTTATATCTAGCTGAGGATTAAGTAGTCTTGTCATTCGAAAACGGTTTGAATTGAACTATGCTCTTACTGTGATTTTTGCCGCTAAAGGTGTTCTTCCTCCCTCTCCCCCACCTTCACCCCACCCCAGGGGGACTCTTCCCTGCAGAGGCCGGCCTTCCTGCCTCACAGAGCTGGCTCAGGCAGGGAGGTGGGGAGACCAGGGCTGGCTTAGCAAGTTGCCTCTTCAGAGCATTAAAAGCAAGGCACTTAGCACAAGCTGGCTTCCCATCACTTCTGTTGATTGTGTCCTATTGGCTCTGTGGTTTAAAACGTTGTACTTTTTAAACATTTTTTAAAAGACATATGCAATTTTAAAAGTTGTTTTCAGATCTTTTTATTTTTGAACTTTGAACCGTGTGTGTGTATATATATAATAGTCATAATATGATATTCATATACATACACACTATTCTTTGCTGCTTTTGCTATTACCTGAATGATACTGAGTCCTGGCAGGAAAAAAAAAAAAAAAAAAAAACATGTACAGGATTAAGGAGTAGAGTATAATGAAAGGATATTTACAGAAGGGTGGCAAAGAGCAAGAGACGGTGAGGTGCCCAGGGACTGGCCACAAGGGGGCGCTGTTACTACCCCTGAGCCTAAAGGAGCAAGTGGAGAGAATGGTTTTAGCAGAGCCCAGAGAGAGGCTGGGGTCATGGAAGAGAAGCCACCCACCAGGAGCTATAACGCAGCTACTGTCAAACTGTGGTGGTTGCAGGAAGGGAGCCTGGGGAATAAATCCTGGGACCTCTCTCTGCTCTCCTACCTCTGCCTCCCATCAGCTAAGCCCAAGCAGAAGTGAAAAGGCGAGAGTGTCCCAACAACACAGTGCATAGATGTCTGCTCCTGGGACACAGGACAGACTAGATCTGGCAGAGAGAGGTGAGCATGTGGAGAAAAACTAACACGTTGTCTTTATGTGGCCACCCATCTCCAGAATGAGTTCACACCCCTTAGCCATACGAGAAGCTGAATGATCAGCTCTCTTCACCTCACCCCCATTCCCCTCTGTACTCTGTGAAGTTGCCCAAAAGCTCTTGACTCTGTTCCTTGTGCTTGAAACACTCCTCCCCTTTCCCAGACAACTCATCCTCACCTTTGGGGTTCACGTTGAACATCACCTTCTCTCAGAATGGCTGAGGTCAACAGGTGATCGTGGATTGGATCCTGGAGGGTGATGACGGTTTTCTATAAAGCGCAGCATTAGGACAATTGGCAGAATTTGAATACGGTGCATAGATTAGGTAATAGACTATCAGCGTCAATATCTTGGTTCTGATCACTGTACTGTGATTACATAAGAGACTCCCCCCAGCTCCGCACACATCTTTTTAAATACATATTGAAGTACTTAGAAGTAAAGAGTAACCATGTCTGCAGCTAATTCTTAGGAGAAAAGTTATGCATATCTCTGTGTGTGTTTTAGATATAGATAAAAATACAGATATATAGATATAAATATAGAGAGATACAGAGAGACAGAATAATTAAATAAATGAAATATGATAAAATTGTAACTTTTGGGAGAAGGCTATATGGGCTTTCCTTGTAGTATCCTAGCCGATTTTCATAAATCTGAACTTTTCAAAATAAGAAGTTAGAAAAAATCTCCTTTGGGAAACTTTCCAAGGGCCCCTCAAAACTGAGTTAGATATTCCTCCTGGGGGGATCAGAGCACCTCACACAGTATTATAACTGCCTATTTATCAGTTTGTGCCTTTCACTACCTGGTTGACATGAGGTCTGGAAACATGCACTTCGGAGCAATGAATCCCTGCACTTGATGGGCTAGGGGATGGTCATCCAGGGCGGCCCCAACAGGAAGGCAAACTATCTATTATGCCAGAGTAGCAAGAGACTGGTTGAATAACATCTAAAACTAGACTTGACAGCATTGACGATGTAGCATGAGTGGCATGCTAGCCAGGGCTGAACTCTCGCTTACTTCTGAGGTCTGTGAAAGGCATAGGTGTATCCAGTGAAAATCAAAGACAAATCATCTGAGGCCCTGCATTGCAGATGCATCGCAGGGAGTGATGGAATGCTGCATTCTTGTGCCTCATTTAATGCAGTTTTGCACCATGGATGGAGCTATAGAGGGACAAGAAAATGAATAGGTCATGTGCTGTTCTTGAATACATATAATATAACATATGTATTATAATGTAATGTCAGAAGTTAGTATTCGTTAATATTATCCTGTATTTCCATATGCTATGCCCATCCCATAGAGCATAAGAGCCATGGAGGCTGGAACTATTCTCATTTGCTATTGCATCTCCACGACCTAGTAGAGTTTGTCTCCTTGCAATTTAAACTTTCATTTGAGTTTATTTGGTTCAAATCCCAGTTCAGCTACTCACTAGCTATGAGATTTGGACAAGTTATTTAATCTCCCTGTACCTCAGTCACCCGTAGTAAGAGCAACTACTTCATTAGACTGTTATCAGGGTAAGTTGTGTTTGTTTTTATAAAACACTTAGAACATGATGATGTTTCTATCATAAACAGGCACTATATAAGTGGGTCTTTTAAATAAGTAAATGGATTTGCATCACACACACACTTATTGGAAGATGATTAAAAGTTTCCTTTCTGAATGAAACTTCAGAATGGCCTTAAAGTCCTGCGAATTCCAAAATCACGCCCTTAAGGACCCCATCCCAGAGCATCTCATTAGCATGAGAGATTTACTGCCAGTACCTGGGGGTGACACACTCCCAGTCAAAGGTAAAAATATTCGTTGTAGATCTTCTGTGCAACCTGATCGTCCTGAGGCTCTTTGCGACACTTTGAATGACTCAGGTTCTAGGTCACCAGTATCTGCCTTGGGGCCAGCAATGGTCTGCTTACAACACCCCCTACAACCGCTTCCACTGCTTGAACATTGCGTTTGTTACTCTCTAAAACATCCCTAAGTGAGAGTTGTTAAAATGTCTTGGATTGCTTTCCTTGGGGGGGGGGGGGGGGGGGGGGGGGGGGGGGGGGGGGGGGAGGATGGCTTTAAAATAATCTAAGCCTGAGTGTAGCTGGGGAGGGGAGGGATTACCATTGAAACCAGATTAGCCATATGTTGACAAGAATTCAAGCTGAGTGATGGTACATAAAGGTTCATTATACCAGTCTTTCTACTCTTGTTTATATTTGGAAATTTCCATATTTAAAATTTTAAAATACTTTGGGGCACCTGGGTAACTCCGTCAGTTAAGCATCTGAATTTTGATTTCAGCCCAGGTTATAATCTCACAGTCATGAAGACCAGCCCCACCTCAGGCTCTGTGTTGACAAAGCGGAGCCTGCTTGGGATTCTCTCTCTCTCTCTCTCTCTCTCTCTGTCCCTCCCCTGCTCTTTCTGTCTCTCAAAAATAAATTCTAAAAAATAATAATAAAATAAATAAAACTTTAAAATACTTTAAAAAATACCCAAGTAAAGTTGGGGGAAGGCTAGCCTTGATGCAAAAGTGATTCTTTTGGCTTGCTAACCCAGTTCCTGGCATTGAGTAACATAAAATAAAGTTTATTGGAAGACTAAGTGAGTAAATAAGTGGACGCCATGATCTGGTCAATTTCATTCAGATGACATGGAAATTTACTTATTATTTTCATATTTGTTTCCTTCTGACACAGAGAGGCCAACAGCTCCTTCTACAAAGCCTGGAGGTAAGCTATCATCTGAGATGTGGGTTCATTTGGACTGTTTCACACGCCCCCTTTATGGGTTTAGAACCCTATGCCCTTTAGACCAGATTTTCCAACAGAAAGAGCACAGGTGTTAAATCATGCCTTTTGGAGTAGATGCACACTCTGCCCTGCCAGGTAATCATTAATCTCTCCCTGGCATTGCCTATTTCTCCCAAAGCTGAAAAGCAACAACCACAAATTCAGTTTGGGATGTGACTTGTCATTATTGACAATCTGAAAGGAATAATTCCATCTAATGAGAAAAGAAGTGAGCCAATCGGATAAATTATGCTCCTAGAAGTGAGTCGTGGGCTCTTCCCTTTGGCACCTCTGTATCTTATGTGCCTTGACGCCAGCTGCCTGCTGTCTGTTTCAGTACATGATTCTTGGCAGCAAATATCTCACCAGGAAGATGAAGACAATTGAACCTGTAAGCCAGCAAATTCAACCCTTTACTTTTCTATGCTTATAAACGGCCCAGTCAAACAGCTACTCTTTTTTTGGGATTCCTACCTACAACCTGGTTGGACCTCATATCTGGATTATGAGCACTTTCTCTGGGTTCTCAAGTCTGCGTCTGTCTCCAGGTGAAGGAACAGAGCCAGTGACACCCGTGCTTCCGGAAGACACGGGGAAAGAAGATGCCAAAGAGACTTTTAGAGAAAACAAAGGTATGGACGGAACTCTCGTGGGAAAAATAGATGACAGGACTCTCTGGATCACAAACTACCACGGTTACGTTACCTACTTTGTTCTTTCCTGCAGCTACTTAAAAAGTCAACTAGACAGGGCATCTGTGACTTTGCAGAAAGTGCATGAAGTTTTGGGTTTTGTTGGTGAAGCCACAGGGGAAAAGCAGACTAGCCAGGAGGTGAAATGCCTCCATGGGGATGAGGCTGGGGGGTGCCCAGCAATTGTGGGGTGGGGGTGGGGTACTGAGAGAATGACCGTGGAGGAACAAGAGGGAGAAAACCAGTCCTTGCGCGACATTCACTTGTGAAACAAATAGAGGAAAGGGACAAAAACATTTCCCAACTGGAATCATAAAAAGGATCGGAGAAAATGGGGTGATAAATTGGAGCGCTGATGGAATTTCAAACTCGGCTCTCACCTGGAGTCTCAGGAGGGAGATCTGGGTTTGCATTGCTAGGCAACCCTAAAAAAAATGCTTCATTGCTCTGTGCTTTAGTTTTAATGTTCCGCATGACAGAAGTAATGCCACGTTTCTCACCTATCCGCGAGCCTCCCTGTGTCCATCAGATGAAACCGGATGTTGTAATACTGTAGTTCAGTTCTGACACTAGCCACCCCAAGGTAGGACAGGGCCCACAGGTTAAGGGCACAATCCGCAGCTAGATTGTCCACACTTCAGACATCAGTCACAAGTTCAGGGGTCCCGAGGCCACCCCCACTTCTGATCAGCTGGCTACAAATCCGGAGGATGCCCACCACCCCTCAGGCTTGATAACTCTCTAGAACAACTCACGGAATTCAGGAAAATACTCTATCTATGACTGCATTTTATCGTAAAGGATACAAATCACCACCAACCAACTGAAGGAACAGATAGGGTACGGTCTGGGAGGGTCCTGTGTGGGGCCTCTGTGTCCTCTCCCTGGGGAATAAGGATGCCTCATCACCCTTCTGGCACATCACTGTGTTCATTACAGAGGCGTGATTGATTTGATCAGTGGCCATGAAGTTGAACCCACTCTCCACCCCTGTTTCTGTCCTGAGACCCCAGCAGCCCCCTTCCTGAGACATCTCATCAGCATAACCTCTGATACGGTCTGAGGGGCTCCTGAATAACAAAGTTACTCCTTTTTTTTTTTTTATAAGGTTTTTTTTTTTTTAATGTTTTATTTATTTCTAGGAGAGAGAGAGAGACAGTGTGAGCAGGGGAGGGTCAGAGAGAGAGGGAGTCACAAACTGAAACAGGCTTCAGACTCTGAGCTGGTAGTCAGCACAGAGCCCGACGCGGGGCTCGAACCCACGAACCGCGAGATCATAACCTAAGCGAAAGTTGGACGCTTAACCGACTAAGCTACCCAGGCGCCCCTAACAAAGTTACTCCTATTACCTGAGAAATTCCAAAGATTTGGGGCCTCCCTTCCAGAACCCAAGCAGGAAAGCCAGTCAAATGTTTTATTGTACAACAGATAAAATGTGTTAAAATGCTTTGAAAAAAGGACACGGTGCTCTCCAGAGGTGGGTGGCATTTTCATTGCTCATTGTTTATATGGTGGCATTGAAAGTGGGTTTTGGTTTGGGTTCTTTGTATGTGTGTGTGGTTATTAGGTTTGTGGCCTCACAGGAAAACAAAGCAACAGTGTCTAGAAGGTTGGGAACCTTGGACGAGTGGGAGTAAGGAAGGGGTCAGTCCCCAGTCCTTGATTCCTCCTCAAGCCCCACGACAGAAAATTATTTGGTTCTAAGTCTTAAAGGACAGGAAAGGTCAGGGTAGCAGGCCTCTGACTGTCCTCCACGGTCACTGCTCTTGGCCCCAACTGGATCCAATTAGCCTTAGTCAGGTTTGTTGGAAGGTTCCAGACTGATTCATGGGCTTCACATGACGTTCTCTTTCCTGGTGAAAGCACTGAGACTTCTTCTTCCCTCCCTCTTCCCTGCCCCATCTTGGGAACTACCATTTTTTTTAAAAATATTTTTATTTATTTCTAGGAGAGAGAGAGAGAGAGACAGCGTGAGCAGGGGAGGATCAGAGAGAGAGGGAGACACAGACTGAAACAGGCTCCAGGCTCTGAGCTGGCAGTCAGCACAGAGCCCGACGCGGGGCTCGAACCCACGAACCGCGAGATCATGACCTAAGCGAAAGTCGGACGCTTAACCGACTAAGCCACCCAGGCGCCCCGGGAACTACCATTTCTGCTCTGAGAGCCAAAGACATCAACCCTGCCCAACAGCCCCTGCTTTGTTAAGAGAGATGGAGGACAAGAAAAGAGAGAATCTCTTCTGGGAAAAAACAAAACAAAACAAAACTTAGTTTAAAAAATACCTTTCTGATATTTTGCAAGAGACTCCAACATTTTCTCTATTACTTAGGATAACAGGACAGGTAGAAAATGCTCACTTATTGGAACTAGACTTTGCTAACTGTATACTATTTCCTTCCAGGAATGCGCTCTTTGAAATACTCTGTGGATTATGCTTTTTTAAAGCCTATTTTGAAGCTCATAAAAACCACTAATGCTGATAATATGCGATTTTCTTTTCAGAAGCTGCCTTAAATCTTGCTTACATTCTAATCCCCAGCATCGTCCTTCTCCTCGTGATCATCACAGTTGTGTGTTGGCTTTGGATCTATAGAAGGAGGCAAGTAAAACCATCATTGTGTGAGCCTTTGTCTCTTCTGGACTCTTTGAGATTTGGGCATTGCTCTGTTTACTTCATTCAAAAGCCATAGTAGCGCCAGGAGAATCACCACTGCAGATGTGAGAGTAGATTCCCTGATGGGCTCAGGACATTCAGAAGGACTAAGCATTTGGGCTTGGTTGTGATTAGGAGAGTGATCTTATATTCTTTCATTTTCATGTGTGGAAGATTTTACATGACTTGGGGGAAACTGTGTTATTTGCCTCCTTTGTATCCACACATCACTCAGCAAAGTGCTTTCATGATTATATACACTCACTCCAAAAAGGTTTGTTAGTTGAGTGAAGGAATAAATGGTGACCCATCAAAAAATAACTATTCTGGGGCCTTCTGGCAAACATCTGAAATGGAATCACTTTATTCAAAATGAAATAGCTCAATCTTTTAAATTGACTTTTGTTTAACTGAATATACAATTATAGACTGTGACCAAATAGTTCCACTAAGTAGTATAGAGCACCTCTATTTATGAATCATGGGCCACCATTTCTGAGGCATCCACAGCTATTCTCAGTTGCTTTTGTATTCCCCATCATCAAGCCGTACCTAGAGGAAGGCCACTATGCCCATTTTACAACAGAAAAACTAAGGTCCAGCTTAAGATTCGACTCTCTTTGATGACCATTTAAGATGAATGAGTAAGTTATCAATGCACAGTTGACCCTGCAGCAACAAGGGATTGAACTGTGTGAGTCCACTTATACATGGTGTGGGTTTTTTTTTTTTTTTCAGTAAATACAGTATAGTACTATAAATGTACTTTTTCTTTATGATTTTCTTTTTTTAATGTCTATTTATTTATTTTTGAGAGAGAGAGAGAGAGATCATGAGCACATGCAGGGTAGGGGTACAGAGAGAGGGAGAAAGAGAAGCCCAAGTAGGCTCTATGCTGTCAGCACAGAGCCCGATGTGGGGCTTGAACCCACAAACTATGAGATTATGACCTAAACTGAAGTCAGACGCTTATTCAACTGAGCCACCCAGGCACCCCCGTGATTTTCTTAATAACCTTTTCTTTTCTCACTTTATTGTAAGGATACAATATATAACATGCAAAATATGTGTTAATCAACTATTTACTTATCATTAAGGCTTATGGTCAGCAGTAGGCTATTAATGGTTCAGTTTGGGGGGGTGTCAAAGTTACATGAAGATTTTCAGCTGTGTGGGAGGTTGGCACCCATAACCCCTTCATTGTTCAAGGGTCAACAGTAGAACTTGCTTCATTTAATAATACCGTCCTTATAGCATTATTAGCAGGATTAATTCATATACAGAATGGACATACAGTAAGCAGTCAAAAATATTAGCTCTATGATTATTTTTAGTAATTAATTCCCTTTGGTCTAAAAAGAGAATTCAATTAAAAATTACAAATATATTTTCCACCTGCTTACTCTGTAGTCTTTTTTTTTTTTTTTGGTTTTGGTTTTGGTTTTCTTGGCTTTTTTGTTTGTTTGTTTGTTTGTTTGTTTTAATTTCCCTTCCTTACTCTATCTATTTACCTCCTCACCAGGATTTGGGAATGGTGACTTTGAAGCTGGAGTCTGTCTCAAGGGGTTTATCCTTTTTTGTGCCACAGACCTCTGTAGCAGTCGGATGAAGCCTATGGACTCCTTCCCAGAACAATATCTTTAAATATATACAATAAAACATATTGGATTGCAAGGGAAGCAATTATACTGATATAACAGTTTAGCAAAATATTTCCAAAAAAGATTGTGATTCGGCAATACATGCATTTCTTTATCAATTCTTCCTTGTTTAGTAGTGGGTATAATTACCATAATTTTGAAACAGAGATGAGTGTAAAATATTTTCAGGCCTCTATGACAACTGTGATGTGATTTGAAAATAACCTGTGATTTCTGTTGGTGATCAAGTCAAAGATACTACTAATTCTACTCTAGTTTATTGCCTACATTCAGAATTGAAGGGCAGGCTCACTTTCACTTGGAAATGAGTTTTTTTTAATGTGATAGTTTCCCCCATCCAGTTCTAGCTGTAGACCCTCTGGGAGCTCTGAGGATCCCAGAATAACCACCTCTGCTCTATGCTCTTGCAGCAGTGAATGAGAGATCTGCACTCACTTTGAATACAACCCTTCCCTGTTTTGTTACCCATCCCCACCCCAAGCCCTGACCTGTAAGTGTCGGTAGATGAGAACAGCAGTGTAGTGATTGCCCAAGATGGCTTCCTCTGCCTCAACTGGAGTCACAGGGATGGTCTTAATCCCCTTTTCTAAAATACTCGGCCCTGCTTTTCTCCCCTCCTAGGAAACGGGAGCAGCCAGGCCCCAGCACGAAGGAGCAGCACACCATCTGGCCCTCTCCTCACCGGGAGAACAGCCCAGACCTAGAGGTTTACAACATCATACGAAAACAAAGTGAAGCCGATTTAGCTGAGACCCGGCCAGACCTGAAGAACATTTCATTCCGAGTGTGTTCGGGGGAAGCCACTCCCGATGACGTGTCTTGTGACTATGACAACATGGCTGTGAACCCATCCGAAAGTGGATTTGTGACTCTGGCGAGCGCGGAGAGTGGCTTTGTGACCAATGACATTTACGAGTTCTCCTCGGACCGAACGGGGAGGAGCAAGGAGTCTGGATGGGTGGAAAATGAAATATATGGTTATTAGGACACATGAAAAACACGTGAACAAATGGAAATGGGAAAGAAAAGAGGAGCAAAACTCTCCTATTTTCTGTGGGGAGAAGACTCAGAATGTCTATGAAAATGCTCCGTTCAAGGTCTTTGGGGGTAAGCGTGTGAGCCCCAATAGCCCCTGATGGATCCCCAAGTTTGGCCAGATGCCCAAACCCAGCTTCTCACCCAGATCAACCTTATGAGAAAGCACCTTACCTGCGGTCAGGCACAGAGTAGAAAATAAATATCAATCAATTGGTTATATCTGACTTTCAAGGGACAGTGCCTCCTTCCCTGGCAGGGAAGGTCAAGGCTGTAGGACTTGGGAAAGCCATGTCTGGCTTATATTACATGCACGGCCGCACATATGATCACAACGAGACAGAAATCTCAGAATCTTTTCAAAGCCCACGTACTCTGGCATCGGGCAGCCTGTGCGGGGACGAATCTTAGATCTGTTTTGTTTTGTTTTTCCAAAGAATCAAATCAAATCAAAAGCAGGAAGCAGAATGTTAGTCTGTCTGTGTCTACAGCCCTTCCTCTGCATGTAGCCTCAGGGGACCTCTTTTTCTTTCTCCTCACATCCAAACTTGGACATATCCAACGTGGAAATACTTTACAAACTAAAACTGGAATTTGAGTCTCGGCTTTTAGGCCTCTCTGTGTGCCCAGCCCTGATAGCGCTCTTGTTTTCCTCGTGTGTTTGTTTTACGGCAACAACAACATAGTTTGACTGATGATGGTAATGCTCCTTCCTTTGTGTTGTAGGGACCTTTTCTCAAATACATTTGGACTCAAATCCACAGAAGAGTTTCTCAGCCTAACATCAGCTGTTTACACTTTGACGGTCTGCGGGCTCTTATGTAATAACATCAGCAAACCCCTTCTAGCTTATTATTTGAATTTTTTTAATGTTTATTTTTAAGAGAGAGACAGAGACAGAGTGGGAGTGGGAGAAGGGCAGAGAGAAAGGGAGACACAGAGTCCGAAGCAGACTCCAGGCTCCAAGCTGTCAGCACAGAGCCCAACACGGGGCTCAAACCCATGAACCGTGAGATCATGCCCTGAGCGGCAGTCGGATGCTCAACCGACTGAGACACCCAGGTGCCCCATAACCTTTGATCATATATCTTACTTTTTTCATAATTTGTCACTTTGCCTCATGCATGGAGCCCCAAACTAGACAGAGTTAGCTGGCCTGAGTCCAAGCGGTATCACATGCAGTGAATTATAATCACTACCCAGTGACCCGCCATACTGGTATGACAGAGAGTAGAGTGGACAACAGAAGCGTCACTTATCCCTGCTCCCAGGAAGTGTATTTTGTGGACTTACAACATTTAAAGCAAAAGGAATGACCCCATGGTCTGAAGGACTGATACGTTGCTCCACCACATCGAAGCTCCCATTTTGCTTCAGATGTCCTGGGTTTATAATCTATCCCTTTGTCCTCCCTTATGTCACTCTACTGGGGCCCCCATTAGGCTGCACCCCCATCAGGATGGGAATCCACTCGCTCTGTCGGCATTATAGCTTCCACACCCCAGACAGCACCTTGCACAGAATAATCAATATTTGTTGACTGGACGAGCGATTCATGTTTCAGATTGTTGTAGAATAGTCTAAACAGGTCAGCTTAAAAGCTCACACTCCACCTGGGTGGGGGAGGTAATGGAGTTATTTTAGTTTGAAAAGCACCCTTATTGCCTGGAAGAAGGAAGCATGGTAACAAATAAGACACTGGTGAATTGTGTCAACAACTTTAAGTCACTGAAGCTGGTAACCAAAGGGTCATGGGACTCATTAGCGCAGCTGCAACTTTTTACCCAGGCCCTTTGTATTTGCCTTTACATTTCCCTGACTCTCCTTGAAAAACGTAGATGTGAGCCTTCCCCTCTGCTCTCCTGGTTTGGTCGCCTCTCAGCTAAGTCCTCCCTGTGCTGCGTACTCGGTATCCCAGTGATTATCTTAGCTGCGCCTCAGCCGGGCGAACTTGGGTTCGGTTACAAATCTGGCAAACCGTCCAGAGCTCCTTGCCCACGGTTTGTCTGCTCCCAGCCAACAAGGGACGTGCAGTGAGTCCAAGCAGCTGCCTAGGCTCTCGGTTCTGCGGGACTCACCCCAACTGGTGCACCAAACTTCGGCACCAGATTTAGCTTCTGCGGCAAGGAAATCATTTCTGAGTTTGGGTTGGACAGATGTCTCTTGGTGAGTACTTCGTGTGCAATGGCATGTGACCTTATGTCTTCCTCCGTTTGGGTTCATTTGGTGAGGCTCTGACTTCTAGGGAGGAACTAGAGACTAGGAAGTCATTTGGTTCAATAGGTGAAGTTCTGACTTTTGGGGAGGAATCAGTGCTCACAGAGGTTTTCTGGGCTTCCTTTGGTTTGGGTGTTACTGCAACTTTCGGTATCTTTGAAAAAAACAAACGGCTATGTTCTAACTGGGAAATGAGAAATGATCGTTTGATCCCCACATGCCATCCTTTGGGCTGTATTCTCCAAAATTGGGCAATCTTTTTTTTTTTTTTTTTTGCAACACCACTTGGCCACAATATCCATTAGACTTCTAAAAAAAATTACTAGGTAGTATATCTGTAAATTATAACCCCATCTTGCAATTACATTTGTTTTATAAAAAGATGATACTTAGAAATCGGGCCTTTAAGATTTTGTTCGCATCTTGTCTGTGTATTTGTGTATCCGTGTATATTGTAAATGTGAACTATTTTCTCTACCTCTAGATGGTATTGCTAAAATCAATTTGTAAGAGAGCTCTATCTAGTTGGTTTGAAGGCAAGCAGTTGTAAGAATTGGGCATTCCTAAAACTGAGAAGAATGGGAACTGTCCCAAACATTTTCCAAGGTTATGTGATCCGGGAAAATATTTGACATTAAAGCTAATTTCAGATTGTTGGTTCTATTAAAGTGGACCTGCCTTTAGAATTGTCAGCAGTAGATTTGGTACTTCTGTTCTGCCTGTGTTTACTGAAAGCCAGGGAGGTTCATGTTCTATTACAAAAATTGTCAGAAATGAAAAAGCGTATGGTATTTGTCTATCAGTGTTTTGTCGAGTTTCTATTTTGTTCATTTGGGTTTTTTTTTTTTTTTTTTAAAGAAAACCCTTAGTACTTTGCCTAATGGCTATTGAGGTTTTATGGGTAATCTAAGAACAAATAAACATAAATAACAAAAGTAACTCAGACCATGAGAAATAATAAGGGAAATAACTGCAAGAAAAGTGAGACTGGCTCTTTAAAGAGGGAAAACGTAGGACAAATCTTGATGTAAAAAGGAAAGTTGAGAAGATTTGTGAGAAGGGAATATTTGGAAAGGAATTTTTTGCATGGTCAAGACTCCTCAGGATTAAGGAGACTAATAGGTAAAATTTATTTGAGAATGATCAACACCTGGGGAAGAGAAGGAGCGTACGATGTCCAGCTGTGATACAATATCAATAGAAGCCTTAACTGATTCTCTGGGGAGTTCTGAAGCAGGCTCACCCTTCGGAATCATCCTAAATTAAGGCAAAAGGCCTGGACTTTTATAACAGTCGTTGGGTGTGACCAGCTGGGAAGAGGGCATGACCTTGGCAAGGCAGCGGTCGTGAGTCAAGACAATCCTTGCGATCTGAGAGTTAAGGACTGTTGGCTGCCTTCCTACAGCTGAGAGCCCTTCATTCCTGATGGAAATTCTGATCAGAACATTCTACATCAACATGGGAGATGACAGGGAGGGAAACAGAGACTGCGTAAGTGTTCTTAATTCATCTTTTGGGAATGCGTGAGTTTTAATGTCAGAAGCATACTGGTAAAAGATGGGAGTTTGAATTCCCCCCCCCCCATTAAAATGACTCTTTTCTTGGATTATTGGTCTAAGTTATAAACAAAGGTTTTTCTTTGTCTTTAATCTGCCTAGAAAAACAAAGTTTCTATTAAAGTTGAATCTTCTCAATATTAAAAGAGCGAAGTTTTGTTAATAACTATATAACCCTTTGCATTTGCCTTTAGAATCTTATTGCCACCTTGAATAAACAGATAACTATGTTTTGTGATCATCAACAATCTTATTTAGGTGTGTGCTTTAAAACCTTTGGATGTTTCAGAAATACTTCCCGAAATTCAACTTGTGACCACTCTAGTTACTTCCAGATGAAGATCTGGGTTAGAGGAATGGAATATTTCTGCACCCCATCAGAAATATTCCTTAGTTTCAGGTCGAAACTCCACACTCTGCAGCTCCAGGATTTGTGAGGTCTTGTACAGGCATTTATCTAGGGCCTTAGAGGAGATTGGTTGTAACCAAGTAGTACTTAACAAATTTCTTGAGACAAGCTCTCCCCCCTCAATAGTAGTTTCAGGTCCGTCAGAAGCTTGTTGGTCCAAGCAATGTTCTTTTTGATGTTCTCCTTGCTAACAGTGACTTGTGGATTCTTGTGGGACCCCCCTGAACAACAGCACGTCACCCTATAATGGTGTGTTGGTGAGTGCGGTTAATCATTTCTTCCATAAGATGCTCTGAGATAAGGATTCGTTACATTTCCAGCTGGCGTAAATGGCAGCATGGTGTCCAAATCCCCATTCCTTTGCTTTCTGAGGTCCTGTCCTGCCAGGAATATTGAGGTTGACATTTAGAGAGTTTGAGAGTCTGCCAACTGGGTGGTTTGATCTGCCTAATTGTTCCTTTGGGCAATCACACAAGATAATAGCTGATGGGTCACCACTGCATCTGGCTCTTCCTTGTCCCTCACCCATAAAGCTCCCATCTGTAAACATCTCAAGCTCTCGACCTCTGGGTATTAATTTTGTATCCTTCACTTTGCTGAATTCATTTATTGCTTCTAGTGTTTTTTGGTGGATATTTTAGGATTGTTTTATATATAGTATGTTTGCAAATAGTAACAATTTTACTTTTTCTTCACCAATATGGACACCTCTTACTTCTTGTCTTCTTGCTTATCTAGGACTTCCAGTATGATGTTGAATGAAAGTGGCAAGAGTGGAGGTGCCTCGATGGCTCCGTTGGTTAAGCGTCTGACTCTTGACTGTGGTTCAGGTCATGGTCTCATGTTGACAGAATCAAGCCGCACGTTGGGCTTTGCACTGGTGGTGCGGAGCCTGCTTGGGATTTTTCCCTCTCACTTTCCCTGCCCCTCCCCCAACTAACGTGTACTTGCTTCCCCCATCTCTCTCAAAATAAATAAACTACAAAAAGTGGCAGGAGTGAATATCTTTGTAATCTTCCAGATCTTAGAGGGAGAGCTGTGGGTTTTTTATATATGGCCTTTATTATTTTGAGGTACGTTCCCTTTTTTCCCCATCATGTTGAGAGTTTTTATCATGAATGAATATTGAATCCTGGCAAATGCTTTTTCTGCATATATTGAGGTGATTGGATTTTTATCCTTCGCTTTGTTGATGCAGTGCCAAGTGTTGATCGATTTGCAAATACTGAAACATCCTTGAATCCCAGGACTAGGTTCCACCCGATTGAGGTGAATGATCTTTTTTGAATGTATTGTGGCAGTGAGTTTATTAATATTTGGTGAGGACTTTTGCATCTATGTTCATCAGGGATCTTCGCCTGTAGTGTTGTGTGTGTGTGTGTGTGTGTGTGTGGTGGTTTTGTATGGTTTTGGCACCAGGCTAATGCTGGCCTCATAGAATCTATTTGAAAACTTCCCTTCATCTTGTTTTTTGCAATAGTTTGAGGAGAAGAGAATGTTTGGTAGAATTCACCTGTGAATCTGTCTGGTCCTAGACTTTTATTTTTGGGTAGTTGTTGTATTATCAATTCAGTTTTTTTTTTTCTTGTAAATTATCTGTTCAGGT